TGAAGGGTAGTTGGTCGGGACATTCCTCTCCCTTTTTATGGACTCTCTTTTCTGCCTTTCTTATCCATGTACACGACATGGGACTTTACTTATCCTCTTATCCCACCATGCTCTCGGCATTCTTCTTGAGCCCGTATAAATTGGTGGTAAAAATAATAATCTATTTTAAATTTTATTTTTAAAAAAAGTTAGATTGGATAGTATGATTCATATTTGGATTAACTTTTGTAAATAACTAAAAAGAGCATGAATTTTTATTAAGTAATACATATACATACATATCTATTATGAAAAATAATTGGCTCAAATTCTTTATATTTATTATATCAAGCTCTTTAATTACATATGACCAAGTATCTTATTTTTTTTAAATATAAGAAATTTGATATATGTAATAGCAAAAAATTATATGTAATTGCTAAAATATATTTAAATTAAAAATATTGTAAAATTTTTAATTCAAATACTTTTTCAGTCCTAAATATAAAACCCTTATACACACTAGTATAAGGGTCTTATATTTAGAATCGGAAGAGTAATATTACCTCATTATGAAAATTCAAATTCAAATTTTGCATTGTTATCAAGTCCAATCTCAATTTAATCAAGAGTAAAATACTCTGACCATCCTTCTGTTTTATCTTAATTACACAGACCTCCCCTATATTTTGATAACATACATTTTGGTACAAACTATTAACACTGTTAAGAAATATTCTGAAAAGATTCTTTACATACATTTTTTAATTAAAAAAATTAGAATAAACCTTGTTTCTTACTTTACCCGTCATTATATTAAATCTGTAGTTTATCTTTTAATATTAATATTTATTAATAATCTATTTAATATTTTTACTAAATTTAATAAATTAAGAAATAACTTTATAATTTTATTAAAAATACACATATACAATTACAAAACATTTTTTACTAGTATATATTTAAAAAATTACATCACAAGTAAGTTTAAATAAATAAAAAATATTTATTGTAAAATAAAAATTTGTATTTATAAAATTTATAATATGGTAATTAATTCAATAGTATAACAAAAAATATTATAATTATTTTTTTAATTTCAAATAAAGATGTATGATATGTCATTAAATGATAATTATTAGTAATATCTGTATTAAGAAGGGGTAATTTGATCAAAATAATGGATCAATTTTATGATTTAACGGATGGGTGGATGGGAATTGAATCTCTAAACTAGAAAACAGGTTTGTGCAATATATATTTTGATTTTAAGGGAGGTCCATATATGTTTCCAAAATAAAAAGAATGTCTTTATAATTTAGGTTAAATAGAGGGGAGGTTGATATATTTTACTGTTTTATCAAAGAACAGAGGAGGATATTGGGGAACCAAAAAGAAGCAAAATGCTTGCCATACATAAATCTAACGGTACGCGCATAGGCAAGGGCATCAAGCAAAAAAGCAAAACGCAAATCACGCGCAACCCGAAAGCACGATTCATAAGCACCTAAAAACTACTTTGTAATTCTGCCTTTTTTTCAAAATAGTTTTTGGCCTATAAATCAAATAGGTCAAAAACTTGTCCAAACACCTCATAGCATGCCAATTGTGCTTTTGGGTCTTAAAAGCTGCTTAAACACGGCAGAACACGGATCAAAACAGGCACTTTCTTCTTTTATCTGAACTCTGGCAGCCACCACCAGCAGTGGAACTCCGGCCACTAGCTGGCCGGTGAGGGTATTTGGTTTTTGTTTAAAAAAAAGCTAATATAGTCATTTTAGCAAAGTGGCAAATCCCAATTTGATCATCTATACCTGAATTGAGATTTTGCTTATTTAAGTAATCATTTTGGGATTTCCAAGTTTAATTGTTATTTTTGTATCATCTTTCCTTCTTAAATTTTGACTATCAACACACTGTCTTAAAAAAATTGTTAAAAAGCTAGAACGGTAACTTGCTTTTGTAAGTTCCTTCTGTCAAGGAAATCCCTTGCTGTCTTTATATTTGGAACTTCATAGTGATCTCATTATCCCACACAATCTCGTCAATCACATGTGATAAGTTTGATGAAATTAAATTCCGAAGAGAATTTCGGTGTTGATCCACTATACTTAATTCCCCAAATTATTTAATAATATTTGTTGGATTAAACCTGATCCATCCTTGATTGAAAGTTTGGGGTCATTTTGCGTATATTTTCCATTTTATTCAAAATAGTGATGGACGGAACAATAAATCATGTCCGGGTTATTTACTTATTTAGTAGTACTGCAAAACTGAGAACACACATCTTTCTAGGGCTGCACATGGGCAGGGCTGGGCAGGGCAAACCCCTTGCCCGATGCCCAGCCCGAAAGATGAGCGGGCTGCGTTTTGCAGCCCGCTGCCCTGCCCTGCCCAGTAGAAGCCCTAACCATTTTGGGCAGGGCAAGGACGGGCTGGGCAGGGCGGGCTTTTCTGCCCAGCGTAATGACACCATGCCTTATATCATATGTAGAAAAAAATTCAATTATCGTGTTTTGAGACAAGTGAGAGGAAAAAAATTATCACGAATGAGTCTATCACTCATATATATATAAGGCCTATGTAGTCTTGTTCTTCAACTTTCAATTTCTTATGGGAGGTAAAAAAAAATATATTTAATAATTAGAACATTTAATAATCAAGCTAAATCAGTAGTTCAATTCCTTAGTTTATTCATATAGTTGGCAGATTTTTATAATCATGTGAAAGCACAAAATTTGAAAGGTGGTTTTATTTTTCTTTTTTTAAAAAAAAAATTGGATGTAAGAGAAAAAGAAAGAAATTTGACTTGGAGTAATTTAGCATATTGAATCTTATATTTTGATATTTAGCTCTTTTATATAATTATAATTTTATGTTCCTTTCATTTTTTCTAATTTTACCTAATTTTTTTGGCCAAAACAAAAGAGATAATTGCTTAAAATAATATTATCTTATATATATAATTATATATTTTTTCGGGCAGGGCCAAATGGGCAGGGCAGCATACCCTGCCCGCGGCCCTGCCCTGCCCGTGAATCAGCCCAGCCCGAAGATGCCCATTTTTGCTTGGGCAGCTTTTTACTGGGCTGGGCTGGGCGCTTTTCTTGTGGGCTCGGACGGGCTTATTGGGCATGCGGGCTTCATGCACACCCCTACATCTTTCCAACAGTTTTTCCTCTGTGCACAAAAGCTCTGTTCTCTGTTTTTTTTTTTTTTTAATTGTGCAATTGACGTATAACAAAACTCCAACTCCTCTCTGTGTAATCGGATCTTGTGTGGGCTTATTCACAGTTCCAGGTACGCTCCAAAAACCCTCAATAGTAAAGTGTGAAGTCTCTTTTTTATTGTTAGGTAATTGGAAAAGCTAATGGTATAGTAGCTTTAAGGCAAAAGGTTTGCGTGATATTGGCTCTTATATTTGTTATCAATATTTATATCATGCTTGAACTAATAACATGGATATTGAGTTGAACTTGTTTGTTTAGGTTTATCCAAGTTAAAGAAAAGATTTGAAAATAAAGAGAAGATATATTGACGAAGAGGAAGAGAATTTCGGAAGAGATCTTGTTCCAAAAATGGAAGAACAAACAAGTCTAAGAAGAAAGAGCTAAATGTTTAATGTTTAGTTTCTGAGACTTAGTTGTTTAGTTATCTTGTAAAAGTGTAAAAATGATGAGCTTTTCAAATTAATGAATTTTTTTTTATTTTTAGAAAAAAAGTTTAGAAGCTAAGTTTTTTCGGTCTCAATATAAGCAAACGGTTACTAAATTATATTCCTTTATTATTTTTTTTGGTGAACAATTATATTCCTTTATTAGTTAGTAGGCGGTTGTGGATTTGTTTACTACATGTTTTTGCCCCCGAAAAATATCTTCCAGAAATACAGTAGGAGTTTGCTTAAGTGTTATTTGTTTACTAAAAGTATTCTACTCAACTTGATTGTCTTCTGAACCAATCTTATACGTTTATTAAGCCATTAGTGGTTTTAGAGTATTTGCTTTACAAAGTGGTTTTACTCTCTGTCGAATTGTTATTTGTTTATTCCGCTTGCATTATTATTTGTTTATTCCACTTTGCATTTGTCTATCAAAATATCATTGCTTTATTGGTTTACTAACCATTATTCATCTACACTATCAAAATTTGTCTCTGAAAAACTACAGCAAACATTTACTCTTTAATATTCGCGTGTTTTTTTTAAAAATAAAACAAAATGATATATAAGAAAAGAAGCGTTTAAAAGATAGAAAAAATTGGTAAAAAATCCCTGTTTGAAAATTTAATTAGTTTAAAAAATCTAAATTTGAGCGAATGTAGCCATAATCCGTAAGTACATATCTTTTGTTGTCTTTCGTTGTCTGCAACAACATATTATTAGTGATGTACAACAATTATCAATACAGAAACTATTTGCATATAGCAAAAAATACATTGCACCCACATATACTTGCACTCGCACAAATTCAAGTCTTTTAACTAATTAAATTTTTAAACAGGAATTATGTACAAATTTTTTCCTAAAAGTTATACTAAGATAACGAGCAGATAAATTATTTTAAATAATTAAAAAAAAAAGAGAGAACAACGAAACAATATGAATATAATATGAAGTGATTTTCTGTTGTACTCAGATTTAATATTCATTTACTGTTGTTTTTTTCCCCCTGATAGTTGCATTTATTGCGTCTCCCAATAGCCATTTTGAATGAGTAATGATTAGAACGTGTATCTAGCGACTAATTACACACCGAGAACTGGAAATAGAAACTTTACACAAGTCCAGTTGGACAATAAAACAAATTTATAACAAGAAAAACATACTTACAATGAATTGATTCATTTGCTCACATCTTCCCTATCTTTCCTTTCTGTACCAAACAAAATGAGGCTTCCCTAAACCTCTCCCTCTCCCTCTCCCTTAAAAAGCCGTCCCTTGACCAAACATAGCCTTGACACACCCCCCCCCCCCCCCCAACCCCTTAAAAAAAAAAAAGGACAAATAGAAAGGTCCATACTAAAAGACACCGAATATATTTACATCTTGACATGAAAGCAAGGGCACGGCCTACATCTCTCATAAGTAACCTTATAGAACATGAACATTGACAAATAAGATACACGGTATGTATTGAACATGTCTGTTCAATATGCTGTGACAATGTCAATTTTAAGTACACACTGAGTACGTTGACATGTCAACACTCCTTAAATGAGAATAACTTCCAGCTTCATGGTACATCACAAGGGCATTCACAATGGTTAGTTATTGGTTTGTGAGGAGTTTTTCAATCTTCTGAATGGAACCTCTCAACACTTTCTGATGAGTTTCTCTTGAAGGAGACAAAACTATGTCATTCCAGATGGAGCCAGGCCCCAGAGCAGGGCTGGGAGGTTTGTACAGTTCGTAGATGGAATCAGCATCAGCATTCAGATTACCTATTGATTCCAAGCACTTGATCTCCTCAGGATCCACAAGCAGATTCTGCTCTCCCTCCTTCCATCCTATGAGCTAAACAAATGCAACCATGTGTTTGTGGGGTACTTCAAAAAATTACCATTTAATTTGCTAAGGATATATAGTACGGGTATTCAGCCGCTTGTGGCTAGTTCAAGTGGTAAAAATGAAGGACAGAGATAGGTAGGGATTAAGAATAAAACTCTCCTTATGTAAGTTAATTATAAGGAAAAAATGCTCTCTCTTTTATCAATCACATAAAATTCCCAACATTTGGTTATTGATAGAGTATAATAACATCATATAATTCATCTAGTTGACCCCACCTAGTGGGATAAGATACTGTTGTAATATCAATAATCTAAAGCATAGAAGGTAAAGCAAGTCACCTTGTTCAAAAGTTATAACAATATTGTATCTTTCAAGCTCCATGTAATACATAGAGGTCAACCTAGTTATATACAAATTGAAATCTATATAATATTCATTATTTTTTTCATCATCATTACTCAACAATAACTTTTTTTTTATCATTGTTTTGATCCAAAGCGGCCCCACAATGCTCATCCACAAACTTTTTTTTTTTTAGTTCATTCACCATGAGATGTGATTTTACAAAGGCAACGAGTAATATAATACTCTTGAAGTTTTACCTTTGGTGGAGCACCCACTGCATTTGTGCTGTAGAGCTTGGCCTGGTCCACAAGTTTGCAGTATCTTTGAAAAGCATTAGCAAATCTTTTGTGAGATTTCAGCTGAGAATTCACCCTCACTGCCCTCCCTGTCATTATAGCTCTCCTGTCAAATAATAATTTCAATGAAATGTCAGTGCAAATCTTCAAAATCTAAAAATGATCCCATGCAGGTAGTTTAGTCCGTTAGGTAATTAAATCACATAACAACTTCTTGCATCAGTTCCCGACCACCCTCTTTTCTTTTTTATGTATATATTAAAAAAAAAAAATCAAGTAAACCGCATTATAATCAAACCAAACCAATCAAATAAATCTCTCACTTTGCTTCAGCTTGGCTTGAAGCCTAGTCAACGGATACCCTTCCTCTTTGTCAGATAAAAGGGGACAAGACCCAAGTAGAACTTATTTATCATCACATAAGGATCTGATTTTCCAGCTCTATATATAATTGGAATTGTTTTAACCAAAAGATGGATTTGAGCGTGTACCTGATGCCTCTAACAACTGCAAGATAACCATCACAGACCACACCGCATAGCTCTATTCTGTAAGGCTTTCTCTTATTGCCTGTGTCTCCATTAGCATCTTCTTCCTGGTCAGCTTTTTCCCAGTAGTTTTCAGTCAAAGTTCCATCCTCAGCAACTTTGTAGCCTACTCCCATGCGATATCTGTGTTTGTGGACATTCCTTGCCATGGCGATGGTCTGCTCCACAAAAGGCTCCCATGATAAGGTGCCATCCATTATCACATCTCGCCCCTCATTTAGTGCCGTCACTAACAGTGATGATGCAGCATCAGTTGAAGATTGATGCACCTGTTTGAATCTCCATTAATTAATCGAGGGTAATTATCAATTGAACATCGTTTACTACAATATAGTAACCCCTCTACTTTTTCAATAGCTCAAACTTTAAAAGTTTTTTAACGTTAAAGTTGTGTGAGTCTATCTATGCACACTTCAATCAATTCAATATACATCCAACATACCAACGAAGGCTGGGTCAAAGTGAATGAGATTCAATTCTCCCCTTCAACAGAGGATTTGAACCTTGTGAAGGTTAAAAAAAAAAAAAAAAGTTCCAAGTTGAAACTTGAGACAGCTAATCCCATTTGAGTCCAACAGTGCTCCAATGTAATAGTTGTATTAGGAAAAACAAAAAGAAAGAAAAATAATATACGTCCAGTATGACTAGGAGATTTATTATAAAACCACTCACTATCTAACCCCAAAATAGTTTAGGTAAGAGTCAGTCATATGAATGCACTTAATTGTACATCACATTCTTGCTTTCGCTATTAGATAACATGCAATTTAAATTTGACGTAAAACAGGAATATATTGAAATAGCGAGAAACTACCGAAAGAATTAATGTCACTCAACAAAATAACGCACTATCGAATATTAAACCTCAATGAATAATTATATAACATCAAATTATTATGCATTACTTCCCCCAACTGCAACAGAATCATCAGGCAAAAAAATTATGTGAAGAAGTCGCTTTAGGAGCGCACCAATTCAGAAGTTTGGAGTATGTCATCGTGGTGGCCTCTAGAATTCAGGGCTTTGTATATAACATCAGACTCCTTAAAAGCATCTGCCTCAACCACCACAGCATTTTTCGATGCTCTTTCCCAGAATGGCCTGCCAGATCCATTTGATATATAAGTCTACAAAGCGCAAACAAACTTATCTCTCTTGAACGGACAAAGAAAGCTATCCTTTTTCATTAAAAAGAAAAAGAAAAAGAAAAAGCAAACAAACTTAACTATGCTTTAGTATTTAAATGATGTTACTTGCAAAATTATTACATTCGCGACTCTAGTAGATGTCGTACACAGATAACTTCATTCAATTTAATTTAACAAAATTTCGGAGAGAAAATACTCTAATTAGACTGAGATGAGAGGGCACTAATGTGAACTTAGCAAGAGAAAGCACTAATGTGATCTTAGCAAGAGAACCACTAAAAAGCTGTGATATTTCCACATGATTGATGGCATAGTTTGCCCAGATATAATCAAAGTTTCTCCAAGAGAAAAAAAAAATGATAGTTTCAAAAACGCAAGCTTGGAATTGAATGACATCATCATCATGTATGTACTGTACGGTTGTGTGGTACAAATAGACCATCCTAGCATCACACTATCATTCAGAATTGGTGAAGTTGTAGATTAATCTTTTTGATATCCTTTAGTCACTTGAAAATATTGTTCAATGAATTTTTTTTAATTTTAAAAACTATCTCCTTGTTAATCTCAAAAAACCCAAAAGGACAAATTGTTATCGTACACAGGATATGAAACTATTTGGCACAACTGAGTAGATAAGAATACTTGGAATGTTTAAAATGTATTTATAGACAAAAACAGACTAAGTGATGATGGAATCAATTCATCTAACTCTCAAAACTGGCTCAGGAAAAATTGTTAAAAAATCAACTAAACCAATTGAAAACTAGTAGTTTTGGTAACCAAACAGTCAGAAATTGATTTGACTTTCTTTATTTAAAATAGAGTTTTGGTATTGCATGACAAATATTTGGGATATCTAGTCAACACATTTACTGTCATATGTGAGATATTTAATTTTAAATACTTTACATTTATAAATATTTATACATTTCAAAATAGTATTTTGTAATATTCATAATTTATAATTATAATTGTAACACATTCATATATTACACGAATGCACGCATATTCAGAAAAACATTTCAATAACACAATTGAATCACTAAATTGTTTGTCCCAAATTTCAACTTAACCCAATGTTAATTTTTTAAAATTATTATTAATATTAATTATTAATCATATAACAGAATAACAAATATTTCAAAACCTGTGTATGCATAATAGGAGAAGTAAGATGATTACTCTTTGAGAATGTCTTTAAGAACAGTGCTCTTGCCAGCACCCATTCCACCCCCAATGAGCAGCAGCACAGGACTCCTCTCACCGAGGGCCACTGGGACCATGACATCTGTGCATTTGGATTCTCCTTTTATCACTTTCATCTCCTCCACCAATGTAGAGAACACTCTTGTTACCTTCAAATCCTTTGTTACTCTCTCAAACCTCTGTTTCCTGCATACACACCACAATCCCTGATCAGATCAATTTCCTCTTCATTTGTTTCATTTACTTACACAATAATTACAGATTTTTTCTATTTTCTTTCTCTTTTGTATTTTTTAAATTTTAAGTTATTCACAAACAATCAAAACAAAAAATTTTAAAAAAAATGCCATTTCCTAATTGCTTAAGATATGTTTAGAATAACAAGAATAGGAAAGACGAGATAAGTTTTAATTTAGACGCTTTTTAAAAACTGAAATTTAATTAAGGATAGATATTTCGATTTTTTTATTAAAAAAACTAATTTGTCTGCCCTCCCGAAGGAAAAACAATAATTGTCCTTTTTCTATATTTTCATTGTACTTGTTGAAAACAGCTACAATAATTTGATGGGCCACTAAGTCAATATCAAAGCCTACGATGCGTAGGGACTAGCCCGCTACTTCTCTGTCACGTAAACTAGGTAAGCACACGCAGGCCCTACCCTGGCACACACGTGTCGAGCACTCATTTTGTTCGAGCTGTAGTTTAGGATACTCTTCAATGAAATTAAAATAGAAAAATTCTAGAAATATACCATTAAAATATCAAAATCCCAAGTAAGAGTGTATTTGGATGGAAAGTGGAAACCAAATCACGATCTAAAAATTTAAATATGTGAGAGAAATTTGTCTCAATCTATGTGAAAAAGGAAACCAAGCACCTCCTAAATCAGTTCATTGGATTGATTTGGAATTTTGAAATGCTGTTAAAAAGATATTGATGTCCCTCACTTTTATTTCGTTAATCAATACTCTTATTCTGAAAATTTGAAAAATATTTTAGGTCCTTGTTACCTACTATTTACAAAATTTATATTGCTATTTATTACTATTATTTTGAAATTTCCAAAAGTGTACTACCAGCTTGCCAAAGCTTTGGCGACCTGAAGTGCTGCTTCCGGGTCATTTTTTATTAAAAAGTTTGGAGGTGATGATATCTTTTTCACAACATTTCAAAATTCTTTCCAATCTCTGATTTCCTATTGATATTTCAATGGTATTTTCCTATGATTTTCTCAATGAGAAGTAACGCACTAAACCTCGTGTGAACCTAGTGCTAAGCTTGCGGAACAAAGATTCTCTGCTCATTTTCCATTCATTACCATTGCATTAAAAATCAAATGATTTAGATTTAACGTTTCATAAAAATAAATATTATTATAATTTTACTTAAAAAATATATATAAATAAATTTAGATTATTAAAATTTGATCTAAACTATTTATAACAGTAACAATAAAAATTTCACTACAATTATGACTTGTTCAGATCAAATTTTAATAGTTGAAATTTACTTATATACTTTTTAAGTAAAGTTATAATAATATTTGTTTTCATAAAACGTCAAATCTGAACTGTTGAAATTTTTATCTAACTGTGGTTAAGGAAAAAAGAGGATAGAGGAGGGGAAGACTCGTCCATCCAAAATAGATTCATTATTCACAAGCCGAAAATAGTGTGACACTCTACAAGTTCCATGTTTTACATTGATATATGAAAAGTTTCAAATTGCTGGTAAAAAGAAAAGAAAAAAAGAAGAGAAAAGTTTCAAATTAGGAACCATGATAAAGTTTTGAGAAAAAATTTCCCTTTCATATTCTAATTTAACAATCAATAAACTTTACTGTGGAAACAGGGTGTTAGAATGAGAGCAATATTTTAGTTCTTCATTTATAAACATTATTCGAGAAATAAATGTATTATACTATTATCGTATGACATTTACATCTATATATATATATATATATATATATATATGTATGTAGAGAGAGAGAGAGAGAGTCACCTCGTAGCAGCCAACAGCATCTCCTTCAGCTGAGTTTTCTTCCCAGACTCTCTGCTTAATGCCTATAACCCAAAAGGAAACCCGAAAAACTTTTATTTTCGATGTAATTCGATTAAACCCCAAAAATATATAAAAATAAATTATACCAACCACAAACATATGAAATCATGTTAAGATAAAAGTGCTGGTTTAGAAGTAGAAATTTCGTTTTGCTGCAGTCATAGATAATTAACACAATACAACATGTTATTAATGGTATTTTAAAAAAAATCAACAAGCTATTTTAAACTACCATTTAAAAAAAAATTATTTTGACGAATCATCACATGTTTATAATCAATTTCATCTGATTTCTGGTTTCAGCCCCAAAAAAAAAAAAAAGTATTATCTCCATTTGGGGTCGCAGTCATGACTGTCCGACTTTTTTGCATCCTTATCACAATGGGGGGGGAAAGAAAATCCAAAGCTATCAATAATTAGTTCTTTAATAATATCTTGAGTTTTATTCACGTGCCCAACATCCTATTTCAACGTATTATAAAATTGCAACTTGTTTTTTTGTTGTTTTCTTTTGCCAACAAAATTGCAACTTGTTTCAGATTATTTCTAATTTCTTCTTCTTTTTTTTGGTAAGTAGATTATTTCTAATTTCTAATATCACTACAGAGAGCAAGAGAAAACAACATACATCCTCATCTGCCCATCAAAATCATGAATACAGAATCGTAATCCCAAAAATAATTGGAAAAAACGTGGGGAGAAAATTCACATTATTCAATCCCTATAATTTTTTTATTCAGGTAAGAATTGCCCTCTCGAAACTAGCGTTAAGATATTGAGTTTATTTACTTATTTATTTATTTTGATCACTTTTTATACATGGTTATTTTGATCAATTTTAGACCTGGAATATATTAGTAGTATTTAAACACGTTTCATATAAATAATTAACAAAAAGTTCATAGAAAATAAGTTTTAAAAAAATCGCAATTCTCGGGCCTCTCAATTTTTCTTGGAACTTGATCAAGTAAATTACTAATAATAAACAAATAAACATATAGGTAAATATATAAGAGCCACGCATTGACCCATGCAATAAATGAATCGTTATTCATTCTCAGGCTGATAGTTTATTTTTAAATTTAGTTTGTTTTTGGCTAATATTTATCTAAAATAATTATTTTTCCCTGCATAAAATAAAGTTGACAGATAGTTTTCCATTTTTTTAAATAAAATGTTCGGGAATCATTAATTGAACAAGTCAATTGATATTTTAAAAAAATTAAACAAATCAATAAATAATTTTAAAAAACGACTTTACCTGACTAATCACAGCAGAAGCTTGGTTCCAATGAAAAGCAAAGTAAGTGAGAATGCATCTGTCGAACTCATGAATCAACATCTCATAAAGAGATTCAGCTCCATCCTCCTTATCAAAATATCCGTATATGCTTGCCTCACAGTCTTTGGTTTTTCTCAGGAAGTCATTAGCCAACTTGCACAGCCCAGGAACTTCCTCAGGGTCTTCAAATCCCATTTGCCTAGCTGCAAATTATTGATCCACGCACAGAGTTCATGTCTGTGTTTCTCTAACAACACCCCACATTTCATTTCAAGTCCCATCAAAGAGAGAACACATAAGCGTAAAGTTTTGCCATTCTATTGCCCTTTTAAAGAAAAGCATGACCAGTTTACCACTAGTTTCTATGAAAAGCAGGCATAAGTCATTGTGCTTTCTTTAGATAACTGCATAAACGATAAGCATAAATTAATTAACACTAATCCGGGAGTTAACCAGAACCTCGCCCTCTAGATAATTCGGATTCATTTTATCAAACAAATTGTAATCACTCTCAATTTTCAAATATGAGAGATTCTGTATTGTTATTTGAGCAACAAATCAATCTCATCCCCAATCCGGATCAGGTAGAGTTGAAAAGCGACAATGATACCGAGCTAACATGAGATTCAACCAAAATAAACGAATAGAAGTTAGATGAGACCAGGATGAAACCAACCACCTCCTTTTCTCAACACAGAAACAGGGAGATTTTAATGTCAGGATCTCATTATTCGATCCGAAAATTTTTTGCGAGCACTGCGTACCAACATAATGGGAGAACTTCTCTAGCTTTCCGACGCGACCAGACTCTGTCCGTTCCAGCTTCGGGATGATCTTGTGGTCTTTATCCACCTGCTTCGACGCCGCGTGTCGGTGGCCCAAGGCGTTAGAGACGGCAACAAATCCGGCGAATGACACGGCGAACGCATGAGAGAAATCCACTCGGCTGCCATCTGAAAAGAGAGAAAGTGAGTGAAGAGTGCAAATAGAAGTGAAATTTACGAAGAGAGGAGATGAAGGTAGAGACATAGGCATAATAGAGTACCATGGCGATGCATCTTGTTCCAGATTCGGAGAAAAGCTCCAGAGGAAGACGATAATGGAAATGGCGCTTGCTATGCTGGGTCTCACACTGTGAGGAAGACGAGTCCTCCTGAGCCTACCAGAAAAGCAGAGCGAACGTGTCAGAGCGGACTTGAAGAGCCACTAAATTCTTTTATTGTGTTTTTTCATTGAGAGAATTATATCAAGGACCCAGGAAAAACAATTAAAAGCCAATCATAAGATATTGTCATTCTCACAGTAAAATTTATTATTGTAGACTGTTAAAATTGTTATTGAAATTTTTTGGTAATTATTTTTCTTCTATGAGATTTGATTGTAATTTCTCTTTTTTCATTCGAAGGAGAAGCCAAAGATATTTAACTTCGAGCGCATTAGGGGAGAAAAAAATTATTCGATCCATTATCATTTTTGGGCTTGAAATTTCGGTATAATTTCAAACCTATGCTTGATGTGAACTTATTAAATAACAGAGAAAAAAAATTCAGATCTTTAAAACACAATTGCTTAGCCCATTTTCTCTTCGTGGTTCGTTTGAAGAGTCGGTCATATCTTGAGAATTCATTCATCTCTATATAATCGTGATATTAGCCAACTAGGTGCTATCTGTTAAGTTTGTATCATTATTTTAATATTGTTTATGGTATTTTAGTAGATTTTAATACTTTTAAAAATTAAAACCACAATGAAGAACTAAAATCCAAATATGCTCAAATTTTAAGAATAAAAAATTATATTAACCTTACTTTAAATATAAAAAGGGAAAATCAGAGAAAAGTACCCAATTGAAACTATAATTAATACATAGACCTCAAACTTTTTATTTGATATGCACACATCTTTGTGCTGCAATTTACCAGAATGTCCTTAAAAAATTAAGAGAGAAAAAGGTCTCCAACCCTAGGTTTTCTCAGCTCTAAACTTTCGACCACCCAAACCAAAACCAACAACAACTCATCCATCTCTCAATCAAAACCAGGAAACAAGCATCAGAAATGGAAACCATAGAACAATAAAATCTAAATCATAGGAAATTGAAACCACTGAGCAACACAAATCAAAGAAGTCCAAAGATAATGAATCTCAAACACAGATCTACGAATGGTTTGATGATGGTAGCTATGGAAGACTACTGTAGAAACTACGAGCTTCACGAATATTGATTACCATAATAGATGCCAAATCCATGAAGGGACACTCAAACCTAGAGGTCTGCAAATTAATTATTTCAACAGGGTGACGTATTATTTGTATGTACAAATAAAACTCTCTCTAAGTGCAATTGATCTTCCATTATGTTCTCCTAAAGCTAGATACTACCAAACTTTAATAGAGTGCAACATATCATTTGTAAGTGCAAATAAAAATCTCTCTTAAGTGTAATTGATCTTCCATCGTGTTCACCCAAGACTAGACACAACCAAACTTCAATAGAGTGCAACACATCATCCGTAAGTGCAAATAAAAATCTTGCTAAATGCAATTGACCTTCCGCTGTGTTTATCTAAGACTAGGTGCAACCAAACTTCAATAGAGTGCAACATATCATCCGTATATGCAAATAAAAATCCCTCTAAATGTTATTGATCTTCCATTATGTTCACCTAAGACTAGGTGCAACCAAATTTCAATAGATCGCAACACAACATTCATATGTGCAAATAAAAATCCCTCTAAATATAATTAATCTTTTCACAAATTTTTAAGGACCAATTCCCAAATAAATTTCTAAATGGGTATTTTCCCCCAAATTTCTCTATAAAAAAAATATATAAAATTTTCAAAAAAATTAAATAAATCTTTAAATTATAAAATTACTACACGTATCTTTAAAATATTTTTATATAATTAATTATGTATTATTTTCAAATTAAATAAATTAATTTAAGATATATATAATAAAATAAATTGAGATGTTATATTTAAAATTAAATTTAACTTTCAAATAATTATTATATTTAAAATATGATAGAGTATTTTATTTTGTCATACATAAGAAAGTACTCTTCATAAGATCCCAAAATGTATATTAGTTTGGTAATTTTTATAAGATCCTACTTAGGATTGTCTAAATATTAAATACACTTTTACTAATTTTGCTCTTAATTAATTTTTTATTTAGGTTAATATAATGTTTGGTCCTTATAATTTGTCATCATTTTGATTTTGATCCTAATAGTTTTTAATGAAAAGTTTTAGTCTCTCAAGTTTTATTTCATTTACAATGTTTGACCTTAAAATTTAATAAGGACTTAGACCCAAAATTAAGAGTGTTAAGTTTGCTTATGTATCACTAACAGCATTTATTTTGCTAACATGACAAGCTAATTAGCCAGCTGACTAGATATGTGATTTTTTTAAAATAAAATAATGTCATCATCTTCTTAGTAGAATCAGGGGCATTCTCGTTGTTCATCTTCTTTTTAAATTATAAGGACTAACATTATAAACAAAATAAAATTTAAGGGATCAAAACTCTGATTTAAAACTATAAATACTAAAACTAAAACGAGGGCAAGCAATGAGGATCAAATATTATATCAACTTCTCTTTCCTTATTTTTTTTATTATACTATTTTCTTTCTTCTTTTTTCCTATTATCATTAGTGTTTCTCTCTCTTATTTACTCCCATATTAAATAAGGCCATACTTAAAACAACTTAATTTTTACATATTTCTTATTTTTAAATATTTTTAACTATTTTATTAAATTGTGTAATTTAATTCAAAAGAACTTCAAAGAAGGAGAGGGGTATTTTATTTTATCATAAGTGAAAATGGTTGCTTTTAGAATGACGGATAGAAAGCATGAGGGTAATCTGCAAAAGAGAAAATTGTACTTGAGGACTTAGGGCCCATTTGGTTGGAAGAAAATATGGCGATGGAATTGGAAAATTCAAATTTTCTAAGGGCCGGACACATTTGGTGGCACCATCTTGCAAGAACCAATATTTCGTGGGATAGAGATTTTGCTTTAAATAAAGGAAAATGGGATCCTCCCAAATTTAGGGGGAAGCCATTTTCAATCGAGCACAGGAACCAATTAGGCAAGATTAAAGACGATAATAAAAAACATATCTAAAAATGGTGAGCTGGGTGTTTAAAGCATGAAGTTGTTAAAGATAACGAGAGTGTTGAAGCTACAGGGGACAGATAAGAAGCATCGAGCAACCAGTATTGTCACCTCCAACAAACCTGAATAGTAAAAAGGTGGGTTGTATTATGTTGTCGAGGATTGAGCTTGCATTTTTTTTGTATGCTTGTTAAATATAGAGCATGTGTGGAGTTTTTTGATTGACTACTACGAATGTACATATATATGTATATGTATAATAGTTGTTCTGTTCTTGTTGCATGTATTCAGTCGCCTATTGTAGATGTACCAAGAAATGTTCTTGGAAAATCTTGCTGCTTGTTTAGCTGTTGTTCTAGTTGTGATTGTGACAATGTTTGTTACGATTGCATGTGGTACATGTAATTATAGACCAAGGGATAGAGGGGATAGGTCATATGGGTTAGATTTCCATGCGAAGCGAGCAAACTTGAGGGCAATGATATACAATTGTGATAGTACATGTTTCATTTAGATTAGGATGTACTGGGCAACATTTGATCAACTATATCACATGCTGGACACAATCGGTGGACTAAAACCAAATAAACATATGCTAGAAGATGAGCAAGTAGCAATTTTTTTTGCACATTTTGGCTAATTATGTTAAAAACAGAGTTATTCAATTTGAGTTTGGGAGATCTAGAGAAATAATTAATAGATACTTCAAAATTGTGTTGAATGCAACATTAAAACTACAATCTCACATATTTAAAACTCCTGAGCCAATAACAAAGGACTCGACAGATGATCGTTGGAAATGGTTTCAAGTAAAGCACCACATTTTACTATCTAATTGATATGATAATTATATTTCTGTGTGATCACTTGGAATTATTTTTTTGTGTTAGATCAGACTCATATATGAGTACAAGTGCCAGCTCGATACAAGGGTAGATGCAGGTAAAAGAAAAGGTGATATAACAGCTAATGTATTGGGGTATGCTTGCCAAATGCGCAATTTATATATATGCTGCCTGGTTGGGAACATTTTGTCGCTGATAGAAGAGTGCTAAGAGATGCTATAAGGAGAAGGCATGCGTTGAACTTCTACAAGGTTTATGCACGACCAATTGCTATTGTGTTTTGGTTAAATTCCAATATGTTAATGAAGATCAGAATACATGTGCTTTACATTGTCAATTTTCACTGGAAATTGGAATTTGATATGGTAGTTGAGGTCATTAGAACTTAGTTGATGTTGTTTTGAATTCTGATCATGCAAATTGGAACTTATGTGGTATGAATTGTTATTTAACACTGAGAATTCAAATTTATTTGATTTAAGTAACTACTACTTAGTTGATGCTTGTTATACAAACTATCAAGGATTTCTTGCTCCCTACTGAGGTTAGAGATACCATCTTAATGAGTGGAAGGAAGGACGACAACAAAAACACTATAGGAGTGCTTTGACATGCGCCACTCAGCTCCCCAGAATGTGATAGAGAGATATTTGAGCAGTCCTTCCTTCTATCCTGTAAAGATTCAGAATAGATATATTATGGCATGCTGCTTGATTTATAATTTAATTCGATGACAGAGTATACCTGATCCTCTAGATGCAGAAATAGATTCCTTGGCGACCCTTACTTCTACATTGGAAAATAGCCTTATGACAACCATGGAAACTTCTTATTCATAGAACAATTTTGGAAATGAATTGGCAAATGATATTTATAATGCATATACAGTTCGTAGGGACTGAAAGTTACATTCATTAGTGGTGTATGGATTGTTTAGTTTGTATTTATCTGTAGAAGTCCATGTCATTAGATGAAATGAATAACCATGACTTATGTGGGTTATAAATGCTTTTATATTGTATTTTATATTTACAAGTTTGCGTATGCATGCTGAATAGAAGAAATAATACATTTGTTACTTATGAGGTATAGAATGGAGGAATTGAGCAAGAGTAAGTTCTATGCGTAGACTCCTGATGAGGACAAAATCCTGGTTGAGTATCTTGTCA